TATCTCACAGATGGTATGAATGATTTCTATTTGGTTGGAGCTCATCTAGAGCACCAGGGGTCCTTTTATCTTTCCTCCTATTTATTTATTTACCTATTTTATCACCGGACCCCCCACCTCCACCCCACATCTTCCTGAACACCACTACAACACTTTTGTTTTGACTACCTTGTTAACATTTCACTTCATTGAAAATTTAGTTCCCTTTGTGTTTAGAGAAGAGGCTCCATGTGGATTGATTTTGATAAATGGGAAGTCTGGTCTGAAGAGCAAAATAACAATTATCTTTATTGAAAGTGGTGCCTAATGCAAAGTCTGAACGTAAGTGAAATTTCCTATGTTGAATTTGGCCAAAGGCTGATACCTGTTAAAATGGTTCTGAGCAGTCAAAAACAAAACTCAAATGTTTACCATCTCTAAATGAACAATTAAAAAATGTACACATTCTGTTATATATCATGATTATACTGACAGATTTTTTTCTTTTTTCTTTCTTTTATTCGCTAAGATTATTGGACTAAGTCTATAATATTCTGCATAATAGATTTAAATATGGTAAAATGAGCTAAGCTTAGAGTACTGTATTGGCATGTTGACAAATGAAAACAAGGCTGTGATATATATATATATATATATAAACTTTAGACTTTCCCTCACAGTCTCGTTTTCATTCATGTATATATACATATATATGCCGTCTACACTGAAAAAGTCCATCAGCTGTTTAAATAATCCAGAATATTAATATATCAAGATAGTAAGTTGTAGGGGATGTGTAGAATTTTATAAACAACAGCTAAATCTGCTGGGTTCTGTGCATGCTGATTCCACGTGGGCTTGAGTTAATATTGAGTTAAAAGAAAATATAGAGCATGCATATAATAATATAGGACATGTGATACAAATGTATGGTTTGAGAGAGTTGTCTTAATATTGGAATTTATGTTGCTACTTGCTTGCATCACATTTACTGACAAAGAGAATTATTAATACTGGTTTATTTTATGTATTTGAATATGCAGAACAAAGTATGGGGAAAGTTACAAAATAAATGATATAAAATAGGCCTTTAGTAATATGATGATCCCCTTCAGAACTATTTTGTTATGCATAAAAACTGGAATTACAAATTAAATGTCCCATCTTACAATAATTGTTGCAATTTTATTTTTGCACAGGAGTGTGATATAGTCACTCATCCTCTTGGGCAAAGGTAAACGGATCCTCCATGTTTAAAATATACCTCAGCCTTTAGCACAAGCTCTAGATTGTGCCGACATATCACTCCCTTGTACTTTTGTTCTTCTGGGTGTCAGCGAAATTAATAATTCATACCATTTACAGAGCAACTCTGAAAGTAATCCTGACTGAAACTTGAGGAGAAGACCTGATTACATTCATTTAGCTCAGCACATTTAAGCCAGGCTTCTAAAACCCTTCCCCAGGTGTGTGAGTGTGTGAGTGTGTGCGCGTCTGCGGGTTGGATGGTGGGTATGTTTTGGTGTGGGTGGGAAATTGGGCTGTGTGTGAGGCGGTGTTTGTGTCCTGCAGTGGGAGAAAGAGAAAAAGAGAGTGAGAGTGAGAGAGGAAGTGATGAAGGGTGAAAGCAGGGGGAGATGAGACACTTTGATGATGTTAATTTTGGGTTTATCTCACAGATGGTATGAATGATTTCTATTTGGTTGGAGCTCATCTAGAGCACCAGGGGTCCTTTTATCTTTCCTCCTATTTATTTATTTACCTATTTTATCACCGGACCCCCCACCTCCACCCCACATCTTCCTGAACACCACTACAACACTTTTGTTTTGACTACCTTGTTAACATTTCACTTCATTGAAAATTTAGTTCCCTTTGTGTTTAGAGAAGAGGCTCCATGTGGATTGATTTTGATAAATGGGAAGTCTGGTCTGAAGAGCAAAATAACAATTATCTTTATTGAAAGTGGTGCCTAATGCAAAGTCTGAACGTAAGTGAAATTTCCTATGTTGAATTTGGCCAAAGGCTGATACCTGTTAAAATGGTTCTGAGCAGTCAAAAACAAAACTCAAATGTTTACCATCTCTAAATGAACAATTAAAAAATGTACACATTCTGTTATATATCATGATTATACTGACAGATTTTTTTCTTTTTTCTTTCTTTTATTCGCTAAGATTATTGGACTAAGTCTATAATATTCTGCATAATAGATTTAAATATGGTAAAATGAGCTAAGCTTAGAGTACTGTATTGGCATGTTGACAAATGAAAACAAGGCTGTGATATATATATATATATATATAAACTTTAGACTTTCCCTCACAGTCTCGTTTTCATTCATGTATATATACATATATATGCCGTCTACACTGAAAAAGTCCATCAGCTGTTTAAATAATCCAGAATATTAATATATCAAGATAGTAAGTTGTAGGGGATGTGTAGAATTTTATAAACAACAGCTAAATCTGCTGGGTTCTGTGCATGCTGATTCCACGTGGGCTTGAGTTAATATTGAGTTAAAAGAAAATATAGAGCATGCATATAATAATATAGGACATGTGATACAAATGTATGGTTTGAGAGAGTTGTCTTAATATTGGAATTTATGTTGCTACTTGCTTGCATCACATTTACTGACAAAGAGAATTATTAATACTGGTTTATTTTATGTATTTGAATATGCAGAACAAAGTATGGGGAAAGTTACAAAATAAATGATATAAAATAGGCCTTTAGTAATATGATGATCCCCTTCAGAACTATTTTGTTATGCATAAAAACTGGAATTACAAATTAAATGTCCCATCTTACAATAATTGTTGCAATTTTATTTTTGCACAGGAGTGTGATATAGTCACTCATCCTCTTGGGCAAAGGTAAACGGATCCTCCATGTTTAAAATATACCTCAGCCTTTAGCACAAGCTCTAGATTGTGCCGACATATCACTCCCTTGTACTTTTGTTCTTCTGGGTGTCAGCGAAATTAATAATTCATACCATTTACAGAGCAACTCTGAAAGTAATCCTGACTGAAACTTGAGGAGAAGACCTGATTACATTCATTTAGCTCAGCACATTTAAGCCAGGCTTCTAAAACCCTTCAATGTTGACATGTGACACGTGAATTACTGCTAACTTTATAAACAAACCAAGGTACGTTTTACATATTAAAGCAAAAACTGTTTGTGTTGTTCTGCATACTGAGTTGCTGTGAACTCTATAGACAAACAGTCAAAGGCATCTTTTAAATGTGTGAAACTTTAAATGAAAGAAACATTTTTTCACGGATAATACTAAAATAGAAATCTGCCATAGAAACAAGGATGCATTGAATTTGCGTGAGTTTGGTAGAGGGTAATTGAGTGCTCTCCTGCCTACATGAAGTGTGGGGCTGAGGATCTCTTCAGGTGTTTTTAACCGAGAAGCACACCATTCTGGGTTAAGCCGGGTCAGGCACCAAAACTTGCTAAAATTGCAGCTGCTGCTCCTTTCACTCAAAGTCTTGTGTAGTTACTAAGCTTCACAGGACTTTGTGGAAATATTTGAACTTTTCACCAGTGTAGGTGCTGGGAGCAGGTGGATGAGGTCAGGGGGCATCGGAGGTTTGCTTCAGTGGCAGTGCCAATTTGCACTCTTCATTCATCTTCAGGAGGGAGGCATCTTGCTTTTGTGTTGTTTTTCCTTATGTTCTTACATTCAGTTCATACAGTGTATAATATGAAAAACCTACGGTCACTTTAATCCAATTATCTTTTTTTTTTCAAATCAATATATAAAAAATTATAAAACAATATTTCATGTTCATGCATTTATTTATTTATTTATTCTTTTTATTTTTTTAAGTGGCCGTGTAATGTACAGTCGGCCAGTCATTGTCACAAAATACACACAGACACGTTGGTCAGGTTTTTAACAGGAAGCGGGTTTAGAGCTCCTGTCCTAAAAACTCCTCGGCCTCTTTTTCTCACACAATAAAATAATTTCATTGCAGATCAATATTTCATGTCCATTTATTTATTTGGAAAGTAGCAGTCTGACGATCATTGTAACACGATAAACCCCTTCAGGGTGATATCATCTCATTGAGGTTTATTTTGCAATAGGTTATATATGTTGGTGTTTGGGGAAATGGATAGTTATGGCACTGTACTGTTGTAACGTACACCTGCACTTGCTTCGTAAATGTGACAGAATTGGCAACTGTTCTAATTGAAAATATTGTTAAATATCACATACTGTATATAGTATTTCAAAATGAACATATATTAGAAGAAAGGAGATTAGTGAATCTTACTGGACGCATGGCTTTCAGTATAGTACACTGTAAAAATAATAATAAAATAAAATGTGCAAAGAAAATTTCAGTGTTAAAATTAAGTAAAAACTGTTTAACTGGAAGCTGCCTTGCAATATGCATTACAAAATTGTTAAAATACAGCATATGTATTTTTACTCTGAAATACTGAAAAGAAAATAATATTTTTCAGAGGTAAAAAATGTGAATTGCCTTATTTACAGAGAAAATATTATATATATATAGGCCAATATATTTTTTTAAGTATTAGTTAGGTAAAGTATCCTTTAGTTAACGCTTAATTTTTGAATAATCATTTTACAAACAGATTCAGATATGTGTAACTCAAATATGTCAGTATATTAACATTGTTTTTAATGACATATAATTTAATGACATAAAAGCATTGTCATGTAGCATGTCACCAAAATACCACCCGATAAATCTTTTAACGCCATTTGCCACAACAATTTTGCTACAACATTATTTATTTATTTATATATATATAAAAAAAAAAAATACAGTAAAGTTCTGGCAGCTGCCATTTTGATTTTACCATACATTTAAAAGAAAGAAAAATTAAATCTAACAGTTAGTTATTTTTATGTTTTATTATACAGGACATGTTTTGTGTTGTTTTGGGTCAGGGGAAGTAATAACTTTGAGCATGCAAAATAACACTTGCAAGCGCTGTGCTGCTCCTCGATGAGAATGAACAGAGCCAAACCCATGAGCTGCTTACAGTCGCTATCAGCCAGAGTACGATGATGACGACGAGCTTGTGAAAGTCATTCGTCAGGGTTCGGCGTTAGTCATGGATGACTCTTCATTTATCACTGATCCGGTGCTGGATACAGACACATAGCGCACTGATTGGACGCAGCGGGGGGACCAGTAGCGCCGAGCCAGATCCAGAGCTGAGGAAACACACTCTTGCGCGAATTATCTGTACTCTCGCAGCGCTTTCAGGTAGACATGCTCGCGCGCATTCCCGGCTTTGTTTTATCTCTGTGAGGAAACAGCGGCAGCTCGTGTAACTCCGTATCTCGGTGTTTCCGGACGGTGGCGGCTGATATTCGGCATTTACGCACATGAGCGCTGGACACATCGATCACCCCCGACCAATCTCTTCCGTTTGCTCTTGCTTTCAGAGAGGAGAGAGAAACATCTATCTGACAACATCTGAGTGACTCTCGCGCTCCCCGGACTATCGTTTGGACGGGAGTTGCTGTTTGAAGCGAGTGAGGAGGACTTGTTTTGCAAGAAACATCTCTCTGTTTTGTCTTTCCCCGAAGTTGACCGTCGTTTAGTGAAGTTTTGTCAATGGGATGCTGAAACACATCAATAGCAGGTAAGAACACCGATGGCCTCAGCATGTGCGAATGCTTACTAACACATTCGTTACCTTTTTTTAAATAGAAAATAAAACAGGGCAAGGCAGGGCAATTTTAATTTTCTTTTTTAAAAAAGCTTGCTTTAATTATTTTTTTATTGTCAGATAAAAAAAAAACCATCACATTACTAATGAAGATTAACATACAGAGAAAACAAGTTCGTCTATAAAATGCATTACTTTCAGAATGTATAGCTTAGCCAAGCGCATGTTGAAGTAAATCATAGTAAAGACAGTAGGTACACACAGGTTGTAAATGTGTTCACGTGTGGTGCTTGTAAGCGTCACTGTATATTAATAAGAGCACACAGCGTTTCACCGTCGTTTTAATAACTTCATCTACTTGACTTTTCCGTTGTTTTTCAGTGAGAAAAAAAATGTGTTTGTACAGCCCAACAGCTTGAAATGGTTTCATATAAATAATAGTTCTTAGCTCTACACTTCTGACAGCTTATATGCATTTACTGTAATGACGTTAAAAATTAACAGTGTACTGCAAGTAGATGATAAAGACGTCAGATCAGTAAAATAAACAAAAATAAAGTTATATATGAAATAGATATAAAAAATAAATAGCATAAGAATGACAGGCTAATACCTGCATCTATATAACTTATACGTCACATTTTAACTCTTTTTTTTTTAATTAATCTTACTGTGTAAGATTGTGTTACAAGCAATTACAATAATTGAAATAATACAAATATAGTTATGAAAGTAGTTGTATTGACATTGTTACTGTATCCTACGTTAACAATATTACAATATCCCTCTGCTCAGATTACATGTGTTAAAGTTGTTTGTGAGTGTTTCATTCAGACCTGCTTTATCTGAGGGAAACTGCTGTGTACAGCATCAGCTAATTCACCTCCAGGCTGTGCTGAAGATGTCTTAAAATAACTGTTTTTCAGAACATCTGTAATCGTTAACTTACCTTCACCTAGTAATTTTTTCTTTCACTACAGTTCTTCTCTCATGTTTGTTTAAGTTTTATTCTCAGCTCTGAGTGAATGCTCATTGATTGATTATAAGCATTAAAAATGTAAATGCTTAGCTGATGCTAATAAACAAATATTCTCTCATAACCAAGTTTTTTTGCAAGTAAAGAAAATTAGACAGTACACTTTCACAAAACACTCACTGGCAGTAGGTTTTTTTTTTTTTGGTCTGTGTGTATATGTGAGTGTGTCTTCTGAGCAACTTTTTTTTCTTTTATGTTTTAGAGATAAATATAATATTTAAATATTTGATGTCAGACAAATTACAACATTTGCTTTGGTGACTTTGCGACATATTGCTTTGGTGACTTAAATGGCAGTAAGGGTGTCTCTAAATTACTTATAATGTCAAACTGATCTGTACATAATTGAGCCAAACCTCTAAAGCGCATCATGGACGTGTAGACTACTCAAACATTTATACAGTATTCCGAAAAGCAATAAGATAAAAAAGGAAAAAAAGGTTATCAGTTAAATTTTACTTATGAACACATACCTGGAGGTTGTGTTTCGACAGATAAAGAAGAAACAACCTGACGTACACACACACACACACACACACACACTGACTGAAAACAGTGTAGAAGGGAGCATGGTACTGAGGTATCACCATGTACTGTAATTGCGCTGAAAGCTGATACTGATGATAGTGATTGGTGAAAGATTCCTGGCCCATCCTAAATGGTCTTTTGTTTAAATGTTAGTGTATATTGCCCGCTAAAGTCACGGACATGAACAGACATCGCCTCCCATTGGATCATGCTCCTGGACTGGTCTCTTATGTTATATTCAGTTTTTAAATATCTATATTCAAAAAAATGTTTTAGTCTCCTGGTTGTTTTGACTGGTTTAGGCCTTCTACTGGGGGTTTTAGCGATTTATTTTATGACGGTATTTTTAAGCATGTATCTGTTTCTGTTTATTAGTATTCTCTAGTTTAGGTCAGTAAGGTCGATTTGATATTGTAATCTGTGACAGAGACTCAATCATTTATATATGTTAAAAATGTTTGAGATGCAAATATGGGCGTTTTGTGGAAATTAGATGTTACTTGTATAATAGTGTCATTTTTGTATGAATAGATGTTCATGCCTATGCATGTTTTACTTTTTTTTCTTAAAAAAAACATCATAGGAACATTAGAAAATGCATCTGCAAGGAGACTAATGCATTATGGACGATGTACGTAATAAAACGAGGAGAGATTTAGCATTTCTTGTGTGTGTGTGTGTGTGTGTGTGTGTGTGCATGCAGAGAGACCTTTGACTAATCTGAAGTGTAGCCGAAATCAATTTTTGATGTTGCCTTGAACTTGGCCTTTGTTCACTTGAGAGATAGGGAGGGGGGAAAGAAACAGACAACAGAAAAACTTAAGCTGATTTTATTATTTCACATTAAAGTTGGAGTGATTGATAGGAGCACTTTCAAACTCTGAAGTGTCATTTATATCATGACAGAAAGAGTTTTTTTTTTTTAAAGACCCATGGAAGGCCGCAGCGTGTGGGATGGAGAGAGTGTGCACATGTTTGATCTCACATCAAATAAAGGAGCATGAAGGCACCATTTGTTACTGTAATGATGCTAATATTGTCACATATAGTGGCCCTCTTTCCCTCATAAAGGCCAGTACAGATGTTATTGGCTAGGGGTTGTCATGGTAATGGGATTCACAGAGGCTGGATTGATTGACAGAACCTGTCCAGTGCGGCCAGATGTTTTATCATCTCCTTGTTGCTTCTGCTTTCACACCTGCTTAAAAGTCAGCATACATATCATTTCATTATTCAAAGCCCAATTAGTCAGTGTCTTCATTTTAATCATTCCCTGTCAATGGGAGGCATGACAGCTAATTGCAGAAACATTTATTTTCATGTAATTTCATTTTCAAGGCAATACGACTCTAACATGATTAATAATTGTCAGGAGCACAATGATTGGGACCAGATAAATAGGCATTGTTGTTTTGACACCGGTGTGTGTCTGTGCATGTGAATGTGACTTACTTTCTGATGGTATAGGGCTGATTCACCAGCATGTTAAATGCAATGCATGAATAATTGGGAGTCGGCATTGCATGTACACACACACACACACACACACACCAATGAGGCCTGAATAGCTTGTAACATTTGGAGCAGGCTCATTGCTGCCCAGTCATGCTGAAAGACGAAGACACTGGTGTTTTTGCCGGCAACCCAACACCAACTCAAAGCTCACTGACTTGAGTGCACATGCCAAACGACAGTCGAAGAACCGCGTGCCTCATGCCTCTTACGACGTTCTTTTTTTTGTGTACTTGCTACATAGGTGCATTGTAACGTATCAGGAAGAGAGGTGTGGAAGCATATAATGTTTGTGACTTGTGTGACCGGATGGAATGTTATACGCGACCTATGCAAAGCTTAATTAAAACGTCACGCGGCAGCTCGAACGTATTGATGTGCCACTGTTGTGCCGCTTAATTGACACTTTGAGGGATGCACTTTCACTCGTCTGGTAACGGTCGGAGTGTGCTAATATTTCAGAGCAGAAAGGAATTGTCTGTGTTTAAGACCCATCCCCTTGACCTGGACTCTTTAATGCAAAGCCTTTTCTTTTAAGTCTGTCACTCTGATTTATGCTCAACTCCTCAATGCATTGAAAACGCAGAGAATACTTCAAATAGGATTATACACAGGCACACACACGGACAAACACTCTGGTTGGAATCCACTGTATAGAGCCGGCCAAAGCTGTAAATAGTTTTTAAATGGTAAAACGGATTGCGAACTGTCTAATAATGCCGTTACAGACAAACAAAACAAATCCATTCTCATGGAATCTACCAAAGCATTGTTAGGCGAGTGTGACGCTACTGTACTGGGCACCTTTTCTCATTGTCGTCTCCCAACAGACAATGTTGACTTGCCAGCAGAGTGTTCAGTAGATGGTTGGCTGCTTGTGTTTGCTGGGAATTTGAGCAGAGCGGCACGGGTACCAGGAAATAATAGGTTTCAGTTTGTTTCAGAACAGCTGGACAATGAGGGAATGCATTTTTCAACGTTCAGTAGGGTTTCGTGTTTGTGTGTCTCTAGGTCGCTGTACTTTGCTGATCGGTTTATTTTTCAGAGGAGTGAAAGCCGCTCGCACCCTTCCAGAAATTATTTTTTCTCCCCGCTTTTATAGAGAAAGAGTGGCGAATGACCTCTCCCTGTGAGCCGCTATGAAAAATTCATGGTCTCCTCCCTCTTCGAGCCATTATGTCAACATCTAAAAATACTTTATTTCACACTGGCGCCTCTGTGATGGTCAATGATAAACAAACTGCAAAAACCACCAGCTCGAGCTGGCAACACTTTGGGATTGGCAGATAAATAAATAAAACTTTCCAGTTGCATCAAAAAAGTTGGACCGATCTGGTGTGTTACATGCAAGCGTATGTCTTTTTGGTGAAATATGCAGTGCGACCAGTGCGGAAGACAAAGATTGTGTGAATTCTGTTGAGTGTGAAACAGGGAAATAACCGGCAGCTTTTAAGTAGGCTCCACCTCCAACCTTAAATCTGTTATGTTTTTTCCCCCCTTCTTCTATCTTTTTGCCATCTTGTGAAAATTTCATCAGATTTATATTTGACAACAGTTTTACTATGTTACTTAGTATGCTGTGCTATAGGATTTGCTGCCGAGTGCCCTCTGCCAACTGTCGAATTATGCGTGCCAAATAAATGTATGATAGTAAAGGAAGAATGAGTAGTCAATGGTAGTTGATTCATTGAAGTATTTGTGTCTGTTTTTGAAGGCTTTTGGCTATTATTTATAGGATAATTGAGATAGGAAGATAAGGATCAGAACGTGACAAGCTGGAATCACATCCAGATGCCTAACATTTTTTTAACACTTAACCTTCATGTTGTCTTATAGTTTATGTACTCATATAATGTGCCTTTACCACATATGACTATTGTATGAAACACCTGCATTT